GTCAGGGACTCTGCCCCACGCGGGTCCCTTCGCACCCGTGGGTTCTGCTTGCTCCGAGCCCGGCTAGAGCTTGTGCGGGGAGATGGGGTAGAGGGACGCCCCCCCCCACCCCACCCGAGGGGGGTGTTTCCCCCGTGGGCTGCCTCCTGCCCCTCTGTCCCTCTGCCACTGACCAGCCTCTGCTGTCCTTCCCCACAGCAAGGAGAGCTCAACTCCTTCCTCTGGACCATCCGCCGTGACCCCCCCGCCTATCTCTTCGGCACCATCCACGTGCCCTACACGCGGGTGTGGGACTTCATCCCTGACAACTCCAAGGCCGCTTTCCACGCCAGCTCCAGCGTCTACTTCGAGCTGGACCTCACCGACCCCTACACCATCTCCGGGCTGGCCAGCTGCCAGATGTTGCCCCACGGGGAGAACCTGCAGGACGTGCTGCCCCGGGAGCTGTACCGCCGCCTCAAGCGCCACCTGGACTACATCAAGCTGATGCTGCCCCACTGGATGACCCCGGACCAACGGGGCAAAGGGCTCTACGCCGACTACCTCTTCAACGCCATCGCCGGCAACTGGGAGCGCAAGAGGCCCGTCTGGGTGATGCTCATGGTGAACTCCTTGACGGAGACAGACATCCGCTCCAGAGGGGTGCCGGTGCTCGATCTCTACCTCGCCCAGGAGGCTGAGAGGATGAAGAAGACAACGGGCGCGGTGGAGAGGGTGGAGGAGCAGTGTCACCCGCTGAACGGGCTCAACTTCTCCCAGGTAAGGAGGCTCCTGGGCCTCGTGGCGTGTCCCAGGAGGTGGGGGCAGTTCTCCTGGCTTTCTGGTTGGTTTTTGGGGGCGAACCCCGAGCCCGTTGCAGCAAGGTGGGTCACTCGTGGGCTCCAGCAGCCTTTGCGTCGGGCTGCCCGTTCTCCATCACGCCGATCCTGCGAAAAAACCTGTGATGTGTGCTGTGAGTGCTGTGGGTTTATCATGTGTGTTATTCATTTGAGAGGCAAACGTCCAGGGTGTGAGCGTGTGCGTCCGATAGATAGCTTCCCACTTGTGAGGGAAACTTCCACGCCTCCTGTCCTGTTCTGGAGCTGGGAAAAAAGTCCTTGTTTTGTTTTGGTTTTTTGTTGTCGTTTGCTTGTTTTTCAAGTAAAGCAGCTCTGTGGTACTTGTCAGGAAGAGGATGAAACTTGAACAATGAAAAAAGAAACTTCAACGTGGTTCAAATAGATCTAAGTACGTGCAAACTGTCAGTCGTCTTTTTAATAGTCACTCCAGGTCAAAACAAACTGGCTCACGTTGCCCTCGCGTACTGGGGGAAGTTAAGTCTTCAATCTGTGTGGATTTTTTAAATTTTAGAACAGGTAAAGTTCAGCAAAAGGAAAAGGATGCAGATTAAGAAACAAAAGTTATTGGTGTAACTGGACTCCAGAATTCTTTCAGTGGATTTAGCTTTAAGCAACCAAGTACTAAGCCATGCAATCTATTTCATTTCAGTGGATTAATCAGGAACACAGTCACAGCTATTGACTTTGCTTTGTGAAACTGTTTATATGAAATCAGATTTACTAGAAATTCAGGAAATGAATGTGTGTGGAAGAAAACAAATAATCCAGGGGAAATTTAAGATGGTGTCAGTTACTGCTATGATATTTCGTTTTTAACCTGCTTTTCATCATTAGTTTTGGATCAGCCCATTTCCAGCTTTATCTCACTGTCCTAGTTTGAGGAAAAAATTCTTGGTGATGTGGGAATAAGGATTAAAGGACTGATCTTTGGTGTGATTAAAATGTCCTTAGAGTGCCTTCACCCCCTTCTTCCCTGAAGTCTAGTTTTAAGGGGAACTGTTTTAAGGGGAAAAAGTCTGGCTTTCACTAACATTTGGTTTATCCGATATTTCAACTAGAAGTCTAACTCTGCGTACAGCCTTCGGAGGAGAAGATTGTTTGCATATGCTGTTGGATGGATTTTCTTGTTTATCAACAAAAATAATTAAAAGAAAGCCCCTCAGGACCTTTGCATTAATTAACACACACGCAAAACAAGGAATTCGTTTTACCCTGTTCTGTTTGAAAGGTTTAAGTGCCTGTCCTCTCTGTTGAACCCCTTTTTTAAGGTGAGGTAAAAATAATTAACCATTCCAGACATCCAATAGTGTTTGGTTGTATTAGGTCAAAAATGGCAGTTAGAATCAAGCACATGAAAGCACTTGGTTAAAAATGTACCACTTGGAAGCCTTTTAAACGTGAATCATATTACATTTTTTTCTTTTTAGAGAGAGTGAGCGAGTGAACGTGACAGAGAAAGGAAAAGGGACAGGGTACAAAACTCACTGCTGCTCTTACCATAATTCTGGTTTTCTCTCATTCTCTACATTTTAAATGGAAACAAAAATTTTCCTTTTGTTTTGCTGTAATAATAATCTAAAAATAACAACAAAGGTATTACAGCTATTGGCAAGTAAAGGACAATCATTTATGCAAAAAGTTTGTGTTGATTAAAAAAATACATAATATTTTAATTATTGCAGAGAATTGACATTGCTGCTGAAGTAGATCGGTGCTCAGGAAGATTTTTCCTAGATCGCAGCTTTTTCTGGGAACAAGGCCACAAGAACAACATGAGACAAAGCTAAACAAAAGAAACCAGATATTTATTTTCTTGCTTCCTCTAGATTTCATGCATCCTGACACCTGGCTAGTTGTTTAACAATAGTAATTTGTAATGTTATCACACCGTCTGGCAGTCCTACTGCTTGGTGTATTACTGTGCTAATTTAGTGGAGTGGATTACTATTGCTAGGTTTCGCCTCCCAATTTCAGGTCTTGGAGCCTTCCTTAAGCAACACGTAATTAAAACACACTAAAATGGCAATCAGAAATTGAGCCGCTTTTGTCTTATAGCGTGTTTGCACAGTTTGATGAGAACATCTGTGATAAATTACAGTCCCAAATCTGCTAAGGGCTTCAGCAGTTTTTACCTGTTTTCAGCATTACCGTTACGGGAATAATGCACGTAATTTCTGCATTCAAAATTCAAGTTTTAAAACTGTGCCTTGCTGAATCATGTCAATGCTTTTGTTTCTCCCATCCCCAAAATCCAGTATTTTTGCCCTAAGCAAATTAAAAAAGAAAAAAAGCTTTTTTTTTTTTTTTTTTTTTTTTTTAAAAAAAAAAAAAAAAAAAAAAAAAAAAAAAAAAAAAAAAAAAAAAAAAGTTCTAGGAAAAATATTAAACCCACTTTGTTCTTTTTGTTTTTGCCCTAAGCAAATTAAAAAAAAAAAAAAGTTTTTTTTTTTTTTTTTTTTTTACTTCTTCCCCTCAAAGGCAGCTTTGTGCTACTGCAAATATTTAATCTGACTACATGCACCAAATCGGTTAATCTGATACTGCGAGGAGGAGGAAACCTAGGAGTGGTCCTGGTGTGGTACTTGGTTTTGATCTGCTCCGAAAGAAAGCGGATACACTTGCATTTTTGACCAGGAACGATCTTTGAAACGTTCAGTGCATCGCTTTGAAATGTTGATTGTCTTAGCCGGATGAAAAGATTAAGGTGGCTCATATAATTAGCTGCTTCCTGGAGAGCCAGCTCTTGCAGGTAGAGCACGGGCACATTGTTTTCTATTGTAAACCCAGAAACTTTGTAGTTTGATGCTCCGCTCCCCCTGAAATAGAATCATAGAGTGGTTTAGGAAATCTCTGCTCAGTGTTCAGTGGCGCTTTCCCAAACCAGGACCGCTGGGATCACCCTCCTTTCCTGATGACTGGCTGCTTTCCTGCAGGGATGGTGAGCATCCTCGCTCCCTCTGGGACTCCGGTCATGCAAAGTCTGAGACCTTGGTATTGTACAGCTGGTGGCAAGGTGCCTGAATAGCCTAAGAAGTCTGGTTTGGGAGCTTGGCAAGAGGGGAACTCAGATCAGGTTTGGGTCAGGTTGAAATTTCCCCGCTCCTTGGTGTATGAAGTTTCAGGGTTTTCACTGGAGGCAGGACAGAAGGAGTGGGGAGGCGCGCAAAGAAGGAGAGGCAGACAGCTTTCTTTTCTCTCTGACAGCAGAGATGTTTATTTACAGAGTGGCCAGAGAAGTGCAAAATCAGGTGGGACAGGACTGAGAAGAGCTCGTGAGGGACTGATGGTGTTCAGGGCCTTCTCTTGTTGGGGTCCTGGCAGAGGCACTGCAGCTGGCGCCATGACAAGCCAGGAGGACTTGTCCGTGCATCCTTCAAGAGCCAGCTTAGGAAAGGGTAAAGCTTCCCCTCCTCTTCGTGACCCTCGCACAAATCTGTGGTGAAAAGCTCTCCCCAGACTGACAGACATTGTTGTTGGAGCAAGGAGGATGGTGACAGTGACTCAGGTCCATCTGTGTCCACCCTGATCTCCCAGGGCTGTGGTGGGACCACTGCACAGCACCCTCGGGACGCATCACGTCCCCACCAGGAGCCTGTGTAGTCAACAAGGGGAAGGTCCTACTCCTCTACCCCAGCCGCTCCTCCCTGGGGAGACGGGTGGCAGCTCTTGCTCGTGTTTGGTCCTGCCTCTCAGCGGGATCCCCAGACTGAGAAAGTGTTGATATCCCTTCCTCCAAGTTAGAAATATAATCCCTCTCCCATCCCATCCCAACCTCTCTGTCTTCAGGGACAATCTGCATTCAGCCCGTGCCAGGTGCCCTGAATCCCAAGGTTCATGAGGGGAATTTTGTGTCGGGGACGGACTCCGTCCTGACCTGTCATCAGGGGAAGCTGTCAGGCTGGAGGGGAGCCGCCAGCACCCCCTTTTCTCTTCCTCCCCTGGTCCAGGCTTGTGGAGCCCTGACTCTGGTCTTCTCCGGCCTGTATCATTTCCAACTGCAGGGGGAGATGTTAAATATCAAACCGGTGTTGATTGGATCAGCGACGGCCTCAAAGAAAGAAACTTTAGACGGTGCCAGATTAAACTTCACACTTCACCATTCTTCCCCTTTCATTTCTTTGCCGCCTCATTCTCTGCACAAATAAACCTCGTCTCCCTGCTTCCTACCAATGAGACAGCATTCAAGGGGCAGGAATGACTTTGTTAACAAAATCAGTCTTCATTTCCCAGGTCCTGCTGTTCCATCAAACCCTGGGACATGGCAGCTTTGATTACTCTAGTGATAGGATTAGAAGGGGAACAAGTGCTGGTTAATAAAAGGCCGATGGGTGGTCCATCACGTTTGGTCACTGACAGATCTGCAGTCTTGGAGCTGGACCTTCAGTGGCAAAACAGCACGATGCAGTAATATACAGACAGGGCCACGGCCTCGACTTGCTAGTCCATCTCCTCTATCCACCTGAAAAATTAAACATTTCTGTGATCACAAAGCTGGGACTCTGGTTGCTGACAAGGACCGGTATAGCTGACTTCACGGGAAATTGACCTGTTTATACTAATGAAAGACTCAGGCTGAAAGTGTTCCGAACCGGATTAAAGGGCTTTGTTTCAGAGCTAGTTGACTTTTGACAGTCTGTGTAGTTTATTCGAGGCAGTATTACTGATTTTTTTTAATTATTTTATTTTTTTATAGGAAAAGCGGTTTTTGCCTAATAGGAATTGTGCCTTTTTGTTTTTAAAAAAATTCGGGCTTCATGAAAAGGCCACAAGTCATCAAAAACAGCTCAGTATCATCTGTTTTGATTGCTGAATATTGTTGTAATAAGTGTTAAAAGCTTTGATTATACATAGTTATACACTGTGCATATAGTTTCCAGCTTGCTGGCTTAAACTGTCACCTCCTTCACTCCCCAACCCACC